TTCGGCTAACTACACACAGCTTTTTGAGATCAAAAAAAAGATTGGCGAGATGGGAGATACCTCTCTCCATGTTTGGAAGGATTGAAACAGTGAAAATGAATATACTGCCGAGGCTTCTCTTCCTATTTCAATCTCTTCCTGTTTTGGTTCCAGTCTCAGCGTTTAACAAACTAGAAAAATGTATTTCAAAATTTATCTGGCAAAATAAAAGACCAAGAATAAGACTTAAAATACTTATGTCAAATAAAGACACAGGAGGTTTGAACCTTCCTAATCTTAGATACTATTATTGGGCTGCTCAGCTTAGGGCTATGGCTGCTTGGCTTGGCATCGATAAAGAGGCAGAATGGGTTAATATTGAACAGAATTCACTTCCTGGAGTCTCTTTGACAGTTCTGCCATTCATGGACTTGCAAGCACAGAAAAGAGTGAAGAAAATAAATATATGGATTCAGCATACTGTCAAAATTTGGTCCACAATACAAAAAAAGTTTAGAGGAGTAATAATTTTATCACGTGCAATACCTATTAAAGGCAACCCAGATTTCCTTCCTTCTATATGTGATAGTGCCTTTAATAGATGGGAAGAGAGTGGTCTAAAGATAATTAATCCAATTTTTGATTGAGAAACCATAAAATCTTTTTCTCAGTTATGTGATAAGTTTACATTGAGATGTAATGATCTCTTTAGATATTTACAGCTACGACATTATATCACAACTCATAAGCATTGGGACATAATTAAAAGATCTCCAACAAATTTTGAAAAATATTTTATCAATATCATCGAACATGATCTACCTACTAAAAATCACATAGCTCATATTTATGGGAGGTTAATGCAGGATCAATCTGATGACACATTGCATATAAAAATAAATTGGGAACTAGAGTTAAATACTGTAATAGAGGATGAGATGTGGACAAATATATGTGCTGGCTGTCATAAGGGTATTAGCAGTCAAATGTGGAAGGAATTTGACTGGAAAATGAAAATGAGATTCTTCAGAGTTCCACTGGTGGTTGCCAAATTCGACAGTACTTCGCCATTATCACAATGCTGGAGAGATTGTGGGATGGTGGGGGACTATGTGCATATATTCTGGGAATGCCCAAAAATACAAGTGTATTGGCAGGGGGTTAAGAGGGAAGTTGATAAAGTTTTAGAAGGAGATATTCTAATGCACCCAGATTTTTTCTTGCTTGATAGCTTCCCCCCAGATCTGTTCAGTAAATCCCACTTATTTGTATTGCATATATTGTTAATGGCAGCTAGGAAAATAATCACTGTGAACTGGATGAAGGTGCATGTACCCACTGTGACAGAATGGACACATAAACTGAAACAGATATACATATTTGAGAAGATGACTGCGGATTTGCAGTTTAAATCTGACATTTTTCAACAGAAGTGGGCATTAATTAAAAATCTGCTGGAAATAAATAGACTTGATATATGTTAATTTATGAATAATGCGGATAGTGTACTGGTATGCGGTGTATTTTTTTGAAGTGCTGTCAAGGGCTTGTGGGTTTTTTTTAAAGTTTTTTTTTAAGTTTATTTATTGATTATTTTTCTTTTTTTTTTCTTTTATCCTTTTCTTTTTTTCTGTATAAGAAAAGTTCAATAAAAACATAGTTAAAAAAAAAAAAGAACTGCAATGAAACTGCAAGTGTTCACATGGGCGTCTCACAGCCTCCACAAGCACACACACTGGATATGCGTCAAAATATTGTGTTTATTTGTGCTTTGTTCCTTTTTTGGATAAAAGCGTCTTCTACATATGTAGCCTATAAAATGTTACAATAATGATGATTATTATTATTATTTGCGGACACGGAGTTTTTGCGAAATGGACGTGTTGCCAATGTGCGTATTTTCAATTGGCAATTTCAGTTTGAAGGGTGATGGAAACGCGCCTACTTTAACTGCTCTAAACTTACCACTGCGTTTTATTTCTATAAATTAATTTCGTTTCAAATGGGGTCCAACCAGTTATTAAAGGTGTTAAAAATTAACTCTGTATCTCGAGGTTGCGGCGGGGGCGCACACTATGGTTAACCGAGTATTAACCGATAAGGGCCTCGGTTAACGGTTAATGAAAAACTTGAAAACGTGCAGCCCTAGTGAGCAGCAATAGTGTACGAAATATGTACCGTAATAGGTTGGACAAATAAAAAACTGTCCTAATGTAATTTTTTAAATGGGTAGAATGATGGCCCTAATTTACTGTGAATGTTAAAGGAATAGTTTTTTTTTTTTTTTAAAGTGAATTACTCCTTTAATAAGCTGGACAAATGCAAAGTAAACCTGTCATACTATCAATGCGTTATATTTACTTATTTATTGCAGTTGCAAGTGGTCCTTAACCCCTTTGAAGTGGCAACAGAAGCACTTTCAACTGACAAAAAACCAACAGTGTCAGCTGTACTACCATTAATACATGTTCTGCTCGCTCAACTGAACAAGCGAACGCCAGATGAACCAGAACCACCTGCATTGTCAGAGATGAAGGCAAAGATCGTCATAGATCTGGAGAAGCATTATAGAGAGGAAAAGGGCGCATTTATGCTGCTTAAAGCGAGTTACCTGGATCCACGAATTCATCACTTTGTTCATTTGAAAGAGGAGCAGAAACTATAGATGCAGGTGGCTATACTGGATGAAACAAGTGAACCGGACCGGCCCCCTGAGAAAACTGCGTTATCTGCTATGGGGTGTCTCTTCTGAGACACATATTTCACAGACCGTCCAGACCAGGACATGAGTCTGCTGCTTCAAAAAGAGATGTCTATGTATGAACAACAGTCTCCAATACCTGCTCAACAAAATCCTCTCATGTGGACTGTCTTGTGTTTTTGGCAAATAACCTGTAAGCTTTCAGGCCTAAGACACGGCATTGACAGTGCACTAAAAAGACAATGGAATAAATTGCATTTTTTTCCCCCCCTTTTATTAATACAAGCACCAAGAATGCAAGTTGCCTTTTTCGTTTTAAATCGCACTTTATTTTTTATGAACCTCAGGGTAAAGGTTCTTTGTTGTCACATTTCTCGCAATTGTCAAATATGTTTAAACTTAAATAAACTTCATATACAAGTAGTTATGTCTCTTTGTATTAATTTATCCTGTCATTGAAAAAATGTTCTATTTTTTTAGAGGGAATGTTCAAACTTCAATTTTGACAGCCCTACTCCCTCATTAACCACCTTGCTGCCACCAACTGGAGTTTTAATTTAACAGTGAAAGTATCTTTTAAAAAGGCATGTCATGCATCAACTATCCAGATACTGAATCCACTCATATTATGGCACTGATGATTCAGAATATGTTTGTGTGAGTTTAAAAACAATGTTTCCTTTCTTTTCAGGAGTAATGTGGACCTTCAGCAAATCTCTATTGCTGTTCACCACTGGGATCTTAATATCCCAGCAGACACTCGCTCACTCCCACCATCATCACGGACACTCCCATGGAGACGGGGGTTGCCACGGTCACTCGCATGGTGGGGGGAAGATGCATCATGGGGCAAGCAAATGGAGTGCTGAAGCTAACCTGCTCCATGACAAAGAGGAGCCCCACGGGCACGCACACGACCACGGGCACGCACACGACCACGGGCACACACACGACCACGGGCACACACACGACCACGGGCACACTCATGATCATGGGCTGAGCAATTGAAAAGCCATGAAGAAGCAGGGAGACGGAACATGATGGAGCTCTGGATGCAGGTAAAACATGATGATAGATTAGTAGATTCATTTGATGCCTAAGCCTTTCACATAACAAATTTTGCTGGACAATAAATTGTTCAAGAAATTATTGCGGTAAACGATAATATTGTCGTTCTGAGACTGTTTACAACTAAAATAATGATAATGGCATAATAATGCAGGTCTTTTCAAAAATCAATGAACTTTTATTTCTAAAGACAATTTAACCCTGAAAATGGAAAACTTTTAAATATCCAAAATAAATGAACAAAACATCCAAAAAATAAATAAAATAAAAATGTTAACAAAAAATGTACTTGAGAAAATCCCAAAAACAATAAATAAAGGCAAGGCAAGTTTATTTATATAGCACATTTCATACACAATGGCAATTCAAAGTGCTTTACATAGAAGAAATTAAAATAATCAAAAGAAATCAGAATAATTAAAACAGTTTAGAATAAAAAAATAAGAAATAATGAAAAATAAAAATTATGATAAAAATAAAATACAGTAAATTAAAACTATTTCGAATAAAATGAAGTGCAGTAACAGTCGGACGAACAGTGGCACAGTGCTCATTCAGTAAATGCACAGCTAAACAGATGTGTTTTGAGTCTGGATTTGAATGCGACTACTGTAGGAGCACACCTGATCTGTTCTGGAAGCTGGTTCCAGCTGCGGCTGGCATAATAGCTAAAAGCAGATTCTCCATGCTTAGAGTGAACCCTTGGTATTTCTAGCTGATGTGATCCTAATGATCTGAGTGATCTGAGCATATCTGCAATATATTGAGGTCCTAACCCATTAAATGATTTATATACCAGTAATAATACTTGAAAATCAATCCTAAATGTAACTGGCAGCCAGTGTAAAGACCTGAGGACTTGTGTGATGTGTTCATATTTTCTGGTCCTGCTCAGAATCCTGGCAGCAGCGTTCTGTATGAGCTGCAACTGTCTTATGGTCTTTTTAGGAAGGCCAGTGAGGAGGCCATTACAGTAATCCACCCTGCTGGTGATGAAAGCATGCACAAGTTTCTCTAAGTCTTGACTGGAAACAAAGCATCTAATTCTTGAAATATTTTTCAGATGATAGTATGCTGATTTAGTTATTGCTTTGACATGACTATTGAAACTAAGGTCTGACTCTAGAGACACACCAAGATTCCTGACTTGATTTTTAGTTGTTAGACCCCTAGCGTCAAGGTATGCATTCACCTTGAGAACTTCATCTTTGTTTCCAAACGCAATGACTTCAGTTTTGTCTTTGTTTAACTGCAGAAAGTTTTGACACATCCAACTGTTTACTTTATCAATGCATTGGCACAGGGAGTCAATGGAGCTGTAGTCGTTAGGCGAAAGGGCTAAGTAGAGCTGTGTGTCGTCTGCGTAGGTGTGGTAAGCGATTTGGTTCTTTTTCATTATTTGGCTCATTGGGAGCGTATACAGGTTGAATAGGAGTGGCGCAAGAATCGAGCCCTGAGGGACTCCGCAAGTCATGGATGTCCACTCAGACTTATGTTCTCCCATACTCACAAAATAACCTCTCCCTTCTAAGTATGACCTGAACCATTTTAGGACTATCCCAGAAAGCCCCACCCAGTTTCCCAGCCCGTCAAGAAGTATGTTGTGATCAACAGTGTCAAATGCAGCACTGAGGTCGAGTAGTACCAACACGGATAATTTGCCTGTATCAGTATTTAAGCGAATATCGTTTATTATCTTTATGAGCGCTGTCTCCGTGCTGTGATGCGATCGGAAACCAGATTTGAAAATTGTCAAAATATCCATTTGAGCTTAAACATTTGTTCAGCTGATTGAAGACAACCTTTTCAATGATCTTGCCTACGAAAGGAAGATTTGAGATCGGTCTATAATTGCTCAAGATGGTCTTATCCAGATTGCTCTTTTTCAGGAGGGGCTTGACAACTGCAGTTTTCAGGGAGTTCGGAAAACTCCCAGAGTGAAGTGAGGCATTTACCACTTCTAGGAGATCTGCTTCTAAACAGTTTAACACACTTTTGAAAAAAGATGTGGGAAGTGTGTCAAGGGCGCAGTTTGATGTTTTAAGGTGCTGTACGGTTTCTACCAAAATTGTGCCATCAATTTCTTCAAAATCAGACATAGTAACTACTTTCTCAGGTTGTGGTCTGATCTGCCTGACCCCAGAGCAACTCAAGGATGTGCTGATCATCTTTCTGATATTATTGATTTTCTCAGAGAAGAAAGAAGCAAACTCACTGCATTTCCTTTCTGAGAGCATTTCTATGGGAATTTGGCTCGGGGGGTTTGTCAGTCTCTCTACAGTAGCAAAAAGAGTGTGTGTGTTGTTTATATTGCTGTTTATAATATTTGAGAAGAAAGTCCGTCTAGCTTTGCCTAGTTCCCTATTGAAAGCGTGGATGCTGTCTTTGTAGATGTTATAATGGACTACAAGTTTTGTCTTCCGCCACATGCGTTCTGCTCTTCTGCATTGTCTTTTCATATTTTGCACAGCTGTTGAGTTTCTCCAAGGGGCTTTTTGTCTGCCACTATTTTTCCTGACTTTTACATGAGCAGTATCATCAATTACACTCTTAACTTTTGAGTTAAAAGAATCAAGGAGAAAATCAACAGAGTCAGCAGATATGCTTGGTTTTAAAGATATAGCCTTCATAAATAGCACATCAGTGTTTTCATTTAAGCATCTCTTCTTGACAGACACAGCTCTAGCTTCAATGGCAGGAGAGATCACTGTATCAAAGAAAATACAGAAATGGTCAGACAGTGCTACATCCTTAACAATCGATGAGATGTTTAAACCCGTACTGATAAGTAAATCTAGAGTGTGTCCACGATTGTGTGTGGGAGTGTGTACATGCTGTGTCAGATCAAAAGTTTTTAAAACAGTTTTGATTTCTTTTGCCGTATTTGTTTTCTGCATTATCTATATGAATGTTGAAATCTCCAGCAATGGAAAAACAGTCAAACTCAGAGGCAATTGTTGATAACAGTTCTGTAAAGTCCTCAGCAAAGGCTGGAGAGTATTTTGGAGGCCTGTAAACAATGATAAGTAAAATACGTGGAGCACCTTTTAACACAATACCCAGATATTCGAAAGAGGGGTAATTCCCAAATGATATTTGCTTACATTGATAAACATCTTTAAAAAGAACAGCCAAGCCACCGCCTCTCTTACCCGCTCTGCAGACACTCATATAAGTAAAATTTGGAGGGGATGTTTCGTTTAGGACCGTTGCACTACAGCTGTCTTCTAGCCAAGTTTCAGTTAGAAACATGAAGTCCAGGTTGTGTGTGATTATTAAGTCATTGACTAGAAGTGATTTATTTTTAATGGAGCGGATGTTTAAAAGTGCTAACTTTATAGTTTTACTTTTTGTCCCCACAGCAGTCTTAGTTTGGCGTGTAATAGGCACCAGATTAGATGGGTTTGCTGTACGGCTGTTGAAGGCCTTAGATTTTCTATCATGTAAATGAACAGCAATAGAGAGATTCAGGCACACTGGGTTCCCGCTTGTTCTGTAAACATTTGATAAAGTTATTGTTTTCATAGCGAGGACCCAAAACATTTCACTTAGAGCTGGTATCAGTTGTTTTTGGTTCACCTCGAGCCGATGGGGGAGGCTGTGAGCCCTGGCGCTGTGGCAGAGGCCGAAGAACTCTCGGAGGAGGGGGAGGGCGAGCTGGGCCCGAAAGCTTTGGTGGTTTTGGGGCCTGCCGTTTTTTGGTTGGTATCTGGGGGCTTGCAGCAAAAGAGTGTGATAGTTTGGTTCCAGCAGACACCAGTTGTTCCATTTTCTCTGAGAAGCACAGAAGTGGAGATGCTGGAGAGACGGATAACGTGTCAGGTGAGAGGGGCTGTTGCTCTGGTGTTATTGGAGGGTGTAAAATGCTGTCCTGGTTTCCCTCGCTGTTTTCCAGAAAGTCGTCCTTGGGTGCTGAATCTGGGAGCAGTTCTGATATGTCATAGTCTGACTGTGGTGAGCTCTGTGGGCAGGGCTCTGCTGAGATTGTATCCGTGAGCAGAGGTTGTTGTTGTGGCTGAGTGGTGTTATCATTGTCCTTGTGTGATGTGTCAGCAATATGTCCATTCAGGTGTTGAAGTGAAGTCCTGTGGTCGTTCATACTGTGTCCAGGTGTGTGAGTGCCATTCAGGTTGAATGGATTGGCACACACAGCAGAAGGATGATGGAGGGAGAAGTAGATATTGTCCTTTAGTACTCTTGAACCAAGTTTGTTTGGGTGATGGCCATCCCGTTGAAACAGTTGCCTCTGACTCCAGAAAAGATTGAAGTTGTCAATAAAGTTCACTCCTTTTATATTGCAGGTTTTTTGCAGCCATGTGTTGAGCCCAAGCAACCGTGGAAACCTGTTTGTTCCTCTTGCTGGGAGTGGTCCACTGATGAATGTTTCAACTTTCAGTCTTTTAAGTGTTTCAAAAAGTTCATTGAAATCCTTCTTAAAGGGTTAGTTCACCCAAAAATGAAAATTAAGTCATTAATTACTCACCCCCATGCTGTACCAACCCCGTAAGACCTTCGTTCATCTTCGGAACACAAATGAAGATATTTTTGATTAAATCTGAGAGCTGTATAACTACCACATAGGCTTCCGGGACTGGCTCTTGACGGCCCAGAAAGTCAATGACCAGAATAACCCTAAAGGCACCAAGGTGGCGGTGCCACCGGCTTTTATATAGACCATTTCACAAGATGTAAACAACACTGGTCCAGAAACACTTCCTTTTTCAGTTTGTAACTGTTTTCTTTATTTCACATGTAAAGAAAACATGTTAAAGATGTTTTTTTAACTTTTTGATTCATTTTTAAATGTTCTGTTGGTTGTATTTTATCCCAGCTTTTATTTAGTGTTAAAAAACTGAAACAGGAAGTGCTTCTGGACCAGTGTTGTTTACATCTTGTGAAATGGTCTATATATATATATATATATATATATATATATATATATAGCTGCGAGCAGCGATGAAGGGCCAAAGCCGGCGGTACCGCCACCCTGGTGCCTTTAGGTAATGCCGAGTTCAGACTGCATGATTTTAGCCACGATTTTGGCTCGCCGACAGGTTTTGAGAAATCGCCGACAAATGCCCGAAATCACAGGCAAATCGGCGCTCGTTCACGCGAGTGACAATCACGCAGTGTGAATGAACAAAGACGCGAACTGAGAGAATCACCGACGAGTCGCCGACGCCCGTGAGATATTTGGCATGCTAAATATCTGGACCTGTCGGCGATTCAAAATCCTGCTGTGTGAAAAGTGTTTTGACTGAAAACTACATCTGCGATCACCGGCAGCCAGTGAGAGAGCAAGATACAGAGCAGCAGGGAGTTCGGGGAGGAGTTATAGATCACATATCAACATGATATGGCATTGTTTCAACAAAAAAAGCTTCTTCTCGGTCTATTTGGACACAATAAATGGAAGAAAAATTAGTAGAAATTTGGCAGGAGCACTCGTGTCTGTTTCACCAGCTGTACCACAACCGGGTCGAAAAAAAAAGTCTCACGTGAGAACTCCGGTCTTGCACGTGTGGTGTCGCGCGTTGTTTCCTTTTCATATCTCACGCGTGTTTGTTGTGAAATGTAGTTTGCGTGCAGCGTGCTAGACAGAGTCTGTCGGCGATTTTTCTAAAGTCATGCAGTGTGAAACCTTCTGTCGCCGATCCATCGTCCAGTGTGAACACAGCAGCGACTGAATGCTGGCCAAGATAGTCATGCAGTGTGAAAAGAGCAGCGACCTGACTACTTTGAAAATCGTGCAGTCTGAAAGAGCCATAACTAAAGGCACTGGGGTTGCGGTGCCACCAGCTTGGGCCCGCCATTGTTTTGGGGGTGTGATAATGGGTGATACCCATGGTGTGGGGCCAGTACTTTTTTATGTTTTGTTTTTTCACTACGATGAGATTGGCGTGTGGAATGTGCCTAGATTTTCTCCTGGCTGTTGCATTGCGTTTATGAATACACTTCATATTGCATGTTTTTCTTTGGTTCAAAATGGTTGGGGAGCTTACATCTGCGTATTTTTCTGCTGCTTCAGCAAGCGTGTCATATGTTGTGTACATTTTCTCCAGACAGATTTTCACCCATTTGATCCAATGAAGTTCAACAGAGTATGGTTCACTCTCTAGCAAACACTGGGAATGAGTGCAGGGCAATTGCCATGTTACGTCTTACTGTTTGTGCTTGTCCGTGTCAATGTTGTCCTGTTGTTCCTGCGCATAGATTTTATACCCTCACCACCAGTGTCATGTTCTAACAAATTGTTAAAGACACTTAAAGGCATGGTATAGATTCGAAATTTTACTGAACTGTCTTCTGCACAACAAATGCATCTGGCATGTTGCCCCAATGTGTTCTTCGTACTACTACAAACTGGTTCAAATGTTGATTTATGTTGACAAATGTGATTTTCAAATTTAACAAATGTCATTTAACAAACGCTCGGTCCGACTTCGTGGCCTTCGAAGTCCTTTGAAGGATGCAGCCTCTGAATTGGGATGCAGCTTACGTATCAACAACTATTGAAGTTCAGTCCCAATACTTAAAAATGCAAGTTCAGAGGATGCATGAAAGTATTTGGAGGTTTTCTTGATATCGAGGATGAATCGAATGCAGACTTGATCGAATCGAACCGTTAGAAATTCCTGAAAACGCTGCAAGCCTGTAAGCTTTAAACCTCTCGTTCTCACTTAAGACATTGCAGCGCAAGCTCTCAAATACGTGATGGCTTGTGAAGTAGATTTGTGTTTTTGTTTTGCCTAAATTTAATATTCAAGTCACCTTTATTTGTGTAGGCCTAGCGCTTTTTTACAATACAGATTGTTTCATAGTAGTTTTACAGTGAAAACAGGAAAATAACGCAACAGTTTTTATTTTATTTTATTTTTTCCCGGCTGTTCAGCAGCTCTATAATAAGAAAACAGTGTCATTGTCCAGCTTAAGTAGCCTAAGTTCAATGTCGATTCATTTCGGTTGTCAAAATAATTAGTTGTTAATTTAGTTCTATACAGCAGCTCTAGAGAAAACGGTGATGTCGTCATTGTCCAGCTCACTTCAGTTCTTATACACTGGTGTGTCAATGCAGCTAATTGTAATACAATCTTTAGCATTTGTTAAAACATGCTTTTTTGCATTATTTAGCAGTCTACAGACCTGCTTATGCAGTACATTTTTAACTTCCAGGTAGTGTAGCCTGGAAAACAACCATGGCTTTAAAACTTTTTCTTTTTACTGGTTTTAGGCAATTGGAGCCACCCTACTCATCAGTGCTGCGCCCTTCCTCATCCTTTTCCTCATTCCAGTGCAGTCAAACACGGACCAGCACCAGAAACTTCTCAAAGTGCTCTTGAGTTTCGCATCTGGTGGTTTGCTTGGAGATGCATTCCTTCATCTCATTCCTCATGCACTGGGTGAGTTAGCACAATTTGAGGTCATGTAACTGTAACACTCTGTCACATAAACTGATCCCCATACTCCACAGAGTATCCTTTTACTCTTGCTATATAAATATATTAGCATATTACATTGTGTATTTTGAGGTGTTTAAAAATCATTCCTAGTTTTGCTATTGTAGATAACAAAGAATATGTATAAATATGGTAGATTGTGTTTGTATATGAGAGAGATATGAATCTGTCAATTATTTTTTTTGATTAATCTGATAAAAGATATTCAAATTATTATTCATTAAAAATATTGATAAATTTGTTTTGTCAAAAGATTTGTTTTTAAATCTTTTTTTTTTTTTTTATCTATCTTTATCTACTTTTGATCTTTTGGCTAAATGTAGGCCTAGTTACCATCTGAGTAACTGGCCCATGCTAACCAGCCTGACCTTCACCTTTTGATTTTATCTCAACACAGAACCTCATTCTCATCACGGTCAACCACACAGCAGTGAGGAGTCACATGTTCATTCACATGGTAGGGGTGAGTCACATGGTGGGTCATTGTTCAGTTATTGAAATTGGTGTTTTATTACTTCTACTTTTTTCCTTTTATAGTCTGTTTATAGTCTGGTCAAATTAAATATAAGAATAGAATTTACTAAAAGATTTTATTTTGTGCAGTGTCAATAAATGCTTATTTTCTGTCACAGGTGATGCCCATGGTCACATGATGTCAGTTGGTCTGTGGGTGCTGGGTGGCATTGTTGCATTTCTAGTTGTCGAGAAATTTGTTCGTCTTTTGAAAGGAGGACACTCTCACTCTCATGGTAAGTCTTGAATTATTTAAATTATTTGTGCATTAAAAACACTTAACATACATTCTTAATGCTGCATCCCTCTAGAATTGTAACAACTGTTTTAATCAGGGTTGTGTTACCGGCTGGCTATTTTTTATTTAAATTGCTTCTCCTTTCGGAAAGCTCAACAATTAAGAATGGCAGAGGACCAAACAAATTCTCAGAATTTTGACCGACCAAACAAATTCTCAGAATTTGGACCCACCAAACAGATTCTCTTTCTGAAATAAGAACAAGTGCACCATAACTCTGAGAATGTGTGTTTGTCTCTAGGGATCGACCGATATGTATTTTTTAGTACCGATACCAATTTTTTCCCCATCAGCCTTAGCCGATGACCGATACGGGCTGCCGATTTTCTTGAGCCGATATTTGGAGCCGATACATTTTGCTCCCTCAATTTACATCATAAAAATGACACGATGTTAACAAATGTTACAGGTCTCAATTTAATAAAAGTAACATTTAACTAACTTCAAAAATTAATATTTAACAAATAGTAAAAACATGTGAGGTAGAACAAGAACAAGTAGATAAACAATTTTTAACAAATATTAAAAACAAAGTAGAACAAAAAAAGTTCAGTGCTGAAAATAAATATTTAAGCATAAATTAAATAATTACACTATTGCACACAGTAGCAAGCAGCATAATAAAGTGCACAGTGCACACTGTACTTAATTTTAAAAGAAACAAACTATGTACTGCATGGTTTCAATTTTTCGACATAAAATAAAATGAGCATGTCTAGTCTCTAATATCACTGCGATGGCGAGGGAGACACACACTACACGTGTCCAAACCTCAGCCAGGTGGGCGCTGAATAAATCTCCCACAAAAAGCACAGAACAACGTTGGCATTACCTAATCCCGTGACCAGTGTTCGTTACAGCACCCGTATGCATACTAGGGCTGTCAAAATTGCTCAAATGGCGTTTGCATATTCCCTCTTAAAAAACATATTCGAACATCCCGTTGCGCGTTTTGTTATTGACGCGCATTACGTCTAACAGGACACATTAAAAAAAAAGAGACATACCTACTAGTATTAGATAGTTTATTTGAGTTTAAACATATTTGACAACTTATTAAAAAGCAAGTAAATCAACTAATGGCCAAGACCGCAGAGCTCACTCTGTCTCCCCTGGACTTGTCCCAGGCTTCATTCAGTGATTGAAGTTTCACAGTATAGAACCGTCAGTGAGCGCTCCGAGCGAGCTGTGCAGCTGTGGTAAGTATGCAACCGCGGGCGTGTTTTTCTAGCCTGGTTCAACCAGACTCTAGTTCATTTCATTTCCACATAGAGTCTGGAACCGCTCCATTGAAAAACGTTTCCTTCCTTGTAGGCGGGTTAACTATTAAAGTTCAAATCTATTGGATCTGCCCAAAGTCACTCACGATCTGCCATAGCCAATCGCTAACGGGGTGTCGTGAGTGACGTATGTCAAGCGCCGAAATGGCTGGAGGATTATGTTTACAATAGGATTTCAGTCAACGAGCGCCGCAGGTTTTGTTAATCTAGGAACAATTATTAATTCGAAATGTATATTTGACACGAAGGACAGTGATATATTCATTCAATGGCGGAAGCTGTGTCTAATCATTACAAATACGCCGCTGTGGTCGTTTCTGATCTGCCGCAAATGCTGTAGCAGCTACAGTGAATGATCAGTCTGTCTCTATCTGCAGATGTGTAATAAACAACAATTTTTCATATTACGTCTTATTGTTTCTTAATTACCTTAATTATGGTCTTCAAAGTATGTGTTTGTACATTTTTATGTGGCATTTATTTTTTTTAGTAAAACAAATCAACCATTGACATCTAAAACTGAAAATCAAATATCTTCAAAGTATGGTTTTTCACATTTTTATTTATGACAATTTAAAAAAAAAAAAATCACAACCAATTTGTATGATTTACAACATGTAAAACTGACACACCAACCTCCTGCACGAGTGCACAAAGGGGCTCAAAATGTTCTATTCATCACAAGAATCAGTAAATATACAGTTGGGAATATGAGTGACTGACATGACTCCTGAGCGGATCTTCAACAATAGTTTAGCAGCCAGGACTCGGGGCTTCCGAACACCGCGAACACCAAGCTAAACCGTCCGTCCAAAATGTCGCGGTCATCGTGCACGAACTGCCCAGCACAAACTTCCAAACTTTCTGCCTCCTTCACTTGGTCCTCAGTTGTGCAACAAGAGGTTAGACGATAACAATCCGGCTTTAAATTCTGTATATTCGGCAGTTTCTTTTCCAACAACGGACCGAATAGCTTTTCTCACGTCTTTCTCCGCTGCCATTACTGAATTGAAACTGACGCGCTTACATCAACGTCATCTTTCTCAGCCACTCCCTCTATTCGCTGATTGGTCCTACAAAAAATTGGTTTCTGGAAACCTAAGGATATGGAGCGATCCCAGACGTAGTACTGAAGTAAAATGAAATTGAGCGGAAGTGCGTAGGAGGGCGCAGCCAGGCTAGTGTTTTTCCACATTCAAATATTAATTTTCACCTTCAAAATTAATAGATATTCGAATGTAGAATATTCATAGACAGTCCTAATGCATACTGAACGGATAGCCTACACCTTAGCTATTTGCTGCTCCCAAATACAATGACAAGCAGTTAGACGAGGCATTTGCGTTTTCCATTTGGACCCACAAACTTGCTTAGTTGCAAGCACATAACAGTTATAGGACGACGTGTTTCCATTTTCAAAGTGTTTGACAATATTTCAGCTGTCAAACATTTAAAAGATCCTTTGAAAGTTTAAGTTACCATTCTTGTGAAGAGCAGGTTGCACTCTGCTAGTGGGGGAGGGCGGGGCACGTGAACTGCAGCATCTCCAGCAGAACAGAGCTGCCCGTGGCCGCCTGTCTATAAATAGCGCAGAGAAAAAAAAACTATCGGCGAACGCGCAGCGGTGTATCGGACGATTCCGATACACGTAAAAACCTCAAATATCGGCCCGATATATCAGCCGGCCGATATATCGGTCGATCACTACTCTTTAGGCTGTTGTATCTACAGAGCTTCTCTGAAAATTAAATTTCAGCACTGAAAATCTGTTTCCACACTGAATAAAGACTAGCCAAAAAAACTTTTTTGTCTTATTTTTTTTTTTTTTTTTTTTTGCACTGTAAGCGTGCAAGTTAGGTAAAGGCCAGACCAATAATAGCTAAAATTTCAACTCACTGCTTTTATCAATGCTCAAAATGAAGCAGCTGTTCTCAGTCACACAGTGAAGCAGCATTAAGGCCAAGAAAATAATTTTGTATTACTAACAATGTTGCTTGTGCTAAAATTATATACAAATATCATTTCTTATTTTTATGTATTTATTCAGAGTGATCTGGACATTCTTGACCGGTTTCCAAATACGATAAAAATCTTGTCTTGTTTTCAGCTGCTCCGAAGGCAAAAGATAGTGATGAAGAGGGTGACAAGAAAAGAGAGAAGGGAGAAAAAGAGAAAAAAGTCTCCAATAAGAATCCTGTAGAGACAAGTTCTGGTATGGAAACTCAAGTCAAAAAAGTGTATTTGAGTTTTTATTCTGTCTGTCAGTGCTGCTGTCTTGCTGGCAGAATATTTCAACTTCTCTTTGTCTCTACAGATATTAAAGTGTCTGGTTATCTGAACCTGGCTGCTGATTTCACCCACAATTTCACGGATGGTCTTGCGATTGGAGCGTCATTCCTTGTTGGTCCAGCAGTTGGTACTGTTACCACCATCACCATCCTCTTACATGAAGTACCTCACGAGATTGGAGACTTTGCAATTCTGGTCCAATCAGGGTGCACAAAGAAGAAGGTATGGATCTCAAGAGAGTGGATTTGTCAATATATGGTTTGGGGCAAATTTACATAAAGTTTAAAGGGGTTGTTCGCCCAAATCAATTCTATCATAATTTACTCACCCTCGTGTCCAAACCTGTATGACTTTTTTTTTTTTTTTTTTTTTTTTTTTGTAGAACAAAATTTGTTTGTTTGTTTGTTTTTGTTTTTTGCAACATATCAGTGCTATTTTTCTCTCATTCTACAAAATATCTTTTCTGCTGAAGAGTGTCAAATGGGTTTGGAATGACATGAGGGCGAGTAAAACAAACAACTTAAATTTTTTTCATTATCAAGGTTTTCATCGTCCAGTTATCAGTGTGGTTAATATCTATAAAGATTATAAATTGCTTATGTAATATGAACTTAAATTATCTTTATAGACCCCACAAAATCAACATTAAGGTTTTGCTGGTTGCAGTCCATATATACTAGTTTTAGGATAATCTGGCAGTCATATAATATACTTTTAAAAGCATTTAAATGTGTTTGTTTTCAGAAGATATACAGTTTTTAATCTGTAGTCTCTTATGACTAAACAGAGGCAGATTATGACATCACAGCCTGAGCCTGAGACACATCAGAAAAATGCCTGCAAAAAACTAAAACTTAATTTAAAATTGGTTGCTTGTTCACTTCTTTCTGATTTAAATAAGGTTGTTACAAAATGTATTTAGTCAATAGCAGAGATGGTTTTCTTTTTTTTATGCCTTGAGGTGTATTGTTTGTATTGAGGTCTGTTTACGTTCAATTAAGACATGTTTTTAACCATTAATCGCAAAAAGACATTGGCTAGATAGCCTTGGTATTATAAACACTGAAAAAGAGAACAGGACACAGCTGTTATAAGATTTTTTCAAACTACATCACCATTATTTGAAGTGAAGTGGCGTGAAGGCCAAGTCTGGTAACCTATTCTCGGAAATTGTACTTTCATTCGTCCAGTGTAGGGATCGACCGATATGGATTTTTTTTTAGTGGCGATACCGATTTTTGTCCCATCAGCCTTAGCCAATGACCGATACGAGCTGCCGATTTTCTTGAGCTGAATTTGGAGCCGATACATTTTGCTCCCTCAATTTACATCATAAAAATGACATGATGTTAACAAATGTTACAGGTCTCAATTTAATAAAAGTCACATTTAATTAACTTCAAAAATTAATATTTAACAAATAGTAAAAACATGTGAGGTAGAACAAGAACAAGTAGATAAACAATATTTAACAAATATTAAAAACATGAGGTAGAACAAAAAAAAAGTTCAGTGCTTATATTTAAGCATAAATTAAATAATTACACTATTGCACACAGTAGCAAGCAGCATAATAAAGTGCACAGTGCACATTGTACTTCATTTTAAAAGAAACGAACTATGTACTGCCATGGTTTCATTTTTTCTACAGAAAATACAATGAGCATGTCTAGTCTCTAATATCACTGCGATGGCGAGGGAGACACACACCACACGCGTCCAAACCTCAGCAAGGTGGTTGCTGAATAAATCTCCCACAAAAAGCACAGAACAACGTTGGCATTACTTAATCCTATGACCAGTGTTCGTAACAGCTACCGTATGCATACTAGGGCTGTTAAAATTGCTCAAATGGCTGTTAAGGCAAAAATTCAATAAACAGACATCGCTGCGTAAGAGACACTCCAGAGTCAAATTAATAAAGAAAGAGAAGTTTTTTCTTGCAAGAATAGGCCCAATCGCTAACACAGATTGGTACACTGTGAAGAGAGTGACGCCCAGAACACAGGCCGGAGTCTGTCTTTATAGCTCTTCCAAGGTTATTCACTACAGGCCAAGTCTCTCTGTAAAATTCCACAAGCAATGGATTCAAATGCTAGGTTAGATTTACCGCTAACCCCCTCTATCCTCCCCAGTCTAAGATGACCTCTGACCCGACCGGTTCTCTGGTACCTCACTCCACTCTTGATAACGGAAAGACAAATTACTTCCTCCACGAATAACAAAACAATAAGACATTCCTCTGTTATTACATATACTGTAGGAGGTAAACAGATAGAAACTCAAGACCCAATGATCATATGTAATACATGTGAGATTAAAATTCCCCAACATGGCGTTTGCAGATTCCCTCTAAAAAAAATATTCGAACATCCCGTTGCGCATTTTGTTATTGACGCGCATTACGTCAATAACAGGACACATTAATACAAAGAGACATAACTACTAGTATTAGATAGTTTATTTGAGTTTAAACATTTGACAACGTATTAAAAAGCAAGTAAATCAACTAATGGCCAAGACCGCAGAGCTCACTCTGTCTCGCCCCGAACCCACTCTTTCTGGAGGCACTCTTTATCTTTCTCTCTCTCTTCCTCTCGCTCTCGCCCTCACGCTCTCTGCTGTGCGTCGGTTAAATGAACAACAACAAACAAATGTTGCGTGCTGATCAAGAGTTTTGTGCAAGCAATTTAAGGTTGTGAGTCTCGACTCTTGTCCCAAATATAGCAGGCTTCATTCAGTGATTGAAGTTTCACAGTAACGTTATATAGAACCGACAGTGAGCGCTCCGAGCGAGCTGTGCAGCTGTGGTAACGTTATTAGTCTGCAACCGCAGGCGTGTTTTTCCACATTCAAATATTAATTTTCACCTTCAAAATTAATACATATTCGAATTTAAAATATTCATAGACAGCCCTAATGCATACTGAACGGATAGCCTACACCTTAGCTATTTGCAGCTCCCTAATACAATGCCAAGCAGTTAAGTTTTATAGACGAGGCATTCGCGTTTTCCATTTGGACCCACAAACTTGCTTAGCTATATAGTTGCAAGCACATAACAGTTATAGAGCAACGTGTTTCCATTTTCAAAGTGTTTGACAATATTTCAGCAGTCAAACATTTAAAAGATGCTTTGAAATTTTAAGTTACCATTCTCGTGAAGAGCAGGTTGCACTCTGCTCGTGGGGAAGGGCGGGAGCTGCCCGTGAACGCCTGTCTATAAATAATGCCGGGAAAAAAAACTATTGGCGAACTATCGGCTGGCCGATATATCGGTCGATCACTAATCCAGTGCACACACATTAGTAGCAATTAGTAGTGAACACACACTGCAAACCGTGGAAACACATGCATAGTAGTGGGCAGCCATTCACTGAGGAGCTATTGGGGTAAGGTTCCTTGCTAAAGGGCACACAATTTGTTTCCTGCCGGTGTTGAGAATCAAACTTTTGACCTTCGGGTTAACTCTCTTACCATTAGGCCACAACTGCCCCCAAATTCATAAACATTATCACCGTTTTACTGCAGTAACTGGTATTAAAGAAATGTTATAGTTTCATAATAAATCTTTTCGTAAGAATCTGGCCGTCACAAGCTGTCCGATGTGGTGACTTTGTGAAATAAACTATGCTATTGATTATTTAAAAAGAGAGAGAGAGAGAGGCAAGCTCTTTGAAAGGTCCTGTCTTCCTTAATGTGTTGAAATGTTTTGGAATGAAACATGGAGGAAAACTGTGCTTATAAAGTCACTTCAAAGAATATAGCAAAAGTTAAATTGGTTACAAAAAGTTATGTTCATTAAACATCACTGTTTTTACTTTACCATTATTCTTAACTGTTCTTGTTTTCATCAGGCCATGTGTCTTCAGCTTCTCACCGCCATTGGTGCGTTAGCTGGAACTGCCTGCTCGTTATTGGCTGAAGGAGTGGGTGCTGCTGCCACAGCCTGGATCCTCCCATTCACTGCCGGAGGCTTTGTTTATATTGCAACTGTCACGGTTCTCCCAGAGCTGCTGGTTGGACGGTCTAGTTTATGGCAATCAATGCTGGAGATCCTAGCTCTGCTGTTTGGGGTGGGAATGATGGTGCTGATCGCTGAGTACGAGTGAGAGAGGAAGTGATGTTTGAAAGAAGAAATTGGAGTGGAGAAACCAATGCATGGTCACCAGAACCTTTAGAGACTAAAGACTTTGAAATTAGTGTTTTGAGATGAATGTTGACATAGTCCTCAAAAAAAGAAAAGAAAAATGAAGAGGGAGAGAGTGAAAGAAAATATAGAACTGCACTAATTTACCCAGAGACCAACATGAATGGATCACTTAAGTCGTTTTAGGCACATGAACCAACCTTCCCAGGGACCAACAGCTAGAAAATCATGCTCGGTTCATTTTACTGATAAGGTTGGGGATCGAAATGTGGGGACTCTTCGGCATTGATCATTATGATCCCAAGATCTATTGTCTCATGTCACTGAAGCAAATGCTCATCAGTAGATTGCTTTTAAATAAATATTGGTTGGGTTAGTGTTAGTTATCATTGTCATTTGACTGCTGTTCACACAATAAAGCTTTGTGATTCTTTTAAAAGCAATGTGCTCTATCTCTTTGCTATGCAGTTTCTTTGATTTCCTCTGGTGAAATAGTCGGCCATTTCAGGTATAGTTGTTACTCAGTAATAGTAACTGTGTAGTCAATGAAAGTAACTGTGGCTCTCCACAATTAAATACACACATATCGCAGAGTAATAGTTTCACATTATCATTGGTGATGGTTCTTCAGAAGAGGCAAACTGTGGACAGTACTTTTTGAATTTTAGTTGTTGGTGTGTTTTTTTTTTTGTTTTGTTTTTTTGTTTAGTTTTTTCTTATTGTCTGTAACCTTAACGCAGTTTTAACCATTTCTTCTCAATTTGTTTGGTGTAAACCCTTTTCATTCTTTGTAAAACAAGCATATACTTCTATGGGGATTACTATTATTTAGAAATGGAGGTAATGTTTTGTTCAATTTCAGTTAAATAAAACAATTGTTTGTGGTAGCATCTCTAGTCTCTATTCTGCCTTAGTACAGCATAATTGTGAAATAATAATAATAAACAGCATAATAATAATTGTGAAGGCTATTTCTCAATGCTATTATGAATCATGAGGCCAGCAATCAATAGCACTACCATTTTCATCATGTGCAGCTTTAAAACTGTTAAACCGGTTCAAACCCTCTAACAGGTGAAGCAGTCAAGCAAACAGAAGTGTTGTTTTTTCTCATTTGATTTTAGCATGGTTGTCGATGCTTGGAAACATTGTTTAGTTTATTTTGGTAACAAATACTGAAATCACTGTTGCTTTCTCCGCTTCCTCTTTCTACAGCTTGTTCTCATCTGTTTGTTTTTGTGACCCGTTTTTACTATGTGCTTCCAAATCCCAACTAATATTAATACTAACACTCACAAAGCATGTCGCATGACGAAAGTGGCTTAATTCTAACCTGTGCACTTTCCCTATGCCCTTTAGTTCATTGCTCTCTTTTCCTATTCCTATCTCTGGAATTTCCAGAATGTTGTAAACAAAGTAGACTTTATTACATCTATTACTCAGGTCTCAACCTCATAGCAATGCCAGACCTGGATCAGACCAGAGGATACTACCACACCAGCCCTCTCCACTTGTTCAACCTTTTCACACACCCCTCTCCTCACTGGTAGAGGTGGTACTGATCTGCTCCTCTCCAATGAGTGGAAATTTAATCCTTTAACATCTTAGTTTGACAATAGCTCCTTTGAATCGCATGCAATTACAGTCACCTGTCATATTAAAATCCATTTTGTGGTTTGAATGTGTTACCCTCATCCTTCCCGGAGAATGGTACTCCTCCGGTAACTGAGGACTTCAACATCCAATTAGAAAAATCTTAGGCTGCTGACTTCCACACTCTGCTCGCCTAATTTGACCCCACAAATTTGGCTACTCACAAAGCAAGTAACCAATTGGACCTTATTTACACACACTACTGCTCCACTGATCATCAGATCACTTCCTCCTCACTCTTAACCCTCGATGGTCTGAGGTGTTTTCTAGGCCTTGGAGGTGTTTAGACATGCACTGACATTTGTGCTTATTTCTGTTACTTTTTAACATTTTAATAGCTAAAGTCTGATTACACTGTATTTGGCACAAACTGCTTCATATCTGAGCAGCATAAATGTAAAAGTTTGTGATTTGTGAAAAAAAAAATGCCATAGAAATCTTGGATTACGTAGCTTAGAATGTTTGCATTAAAATGGTGTGATGTCTTGCCCACTCATTCACATAAAACAATCTACTGATTTAAAATTTGTAAGACATGTATTGTGTCAAAGCTGTATAAGGGGAGGATGTGAATCATCATGAATATTGATGTGTTTTACAGCTGGCAATACAAGGATCCCTCCCTTAATGGCCATATGAGCTGAATGGGACTGTGAGGGAACTAAAACAAAGAAGGTTAAAATTGTGATTTAAAATTTACAAACAAAAAAATTTAAGAACACCTGGTTTGTTTTGCCCTGAGCCATAGAGAGAATTTCTCTCTCGTGGCCTATAACTATAAATCATTAGAAAGGAACACTAAAGTACACACTAGAGAAAAATAGATCATACATACATATGATATGTTAATCCTACTTCAAATGTTTTCATACATTGTGGCATTATGAAGTAAGTAAAAACATGTAATGTTTGACTCGTTCACACTTACATATAATTAGAGTGGATAAGGTTTAATGCATATTAAACCTTTAATGCCGGGGGGATGGCTCCAAGCTCGGAGTTTGGCCCGAACCCAGAGTACTTCCCCCTAAGTGTTTAGGACTAGAAGTATGGAGAAGGGATGCTGCTAAACTATGAATGGTGTGAGTATTGCCAGAGAAAGTCTAATATGACGAGAACTCCCACTTACATTAAACTTCTGGGTTCTGAACTGTTGCAGTTCCACTCTTGTTCCATATGAGGACACTCACAGGCGGAGTGCAGAATGAATGTAGGTCTATGGAGCAATACCCCTAAAAATCCACTTTTCTCAGGATATATTTTTTTGTCTAGTAATTTGAATGTTGTTTTAGAAAGAAGATGCACAAGAAATTACACATTACTAGGTGTTAGATTTTTTAGAGTCACTTATTTGCTTTAAACTATCAAACTGAAATACTCCTCCTAGAGAATTCAAACACACGGCACGAAACTCGTCAGCATGAAGTCAAGGCATTGAGGATGAAAGTTTGCGAGGGGATTTTTGATATCTCAAACGGTTTGGCTGTGGCGAGGAAACGAAATTATGGCGAGAAACGTGAAACAGGAAGTGTGTCATAACTTCAGCATACATTAACTGATCTTGATGAAACTTCAGCAGTGTGTTCGCTGTAAGAGGACGATCACATGGATGTGACTATTGTGAGTCAAAGTTATAGCGCCACCAACTGGTAGCAGGAAGTGTGTCACTTTCAAAATGCTTTGAACTCACCCTTTTATTTTTACCCGATTTGCTTCAAACTTCATCTGTATAATGTAAACATACGGCAGATGTAGACCTGTGAATGGATTCTTGATATCTTTTAAACTGTTGCCGTGGCAACGCATCAAACTTTACCATTCTTTTAGGATGCTTTTGAGACCCTTAGCATGCTTCAAATTGTATGAAACTCGACAGACACATCACATTTATTAGCCAGTATACATGTGCAAAGTTTCAGAAACGGGTGTGGTGAGGGCTCAGTAGCGCCACCTTTTGACAAAAGTGGGGTTGTTAGTTTTAACTAGAGTTAAAAAAATCAGTATGTATAATATTCTACTCCTCGAGCCGGACGACTTTCTAATTTACACTTATTAGCTAGGACCCACAGAAAGTCAGATATTTTTGTTTGAATATTGTCATGCTCACTCTGAGCCTACATGTCTCTGTGTCTCTGTGTCTTTGGCTGTCTCTGTGTGTGTGTGCCTGTCTGTGTGTGTGTGTGTGCAGGGGGAGGGGGCTTAACCATTTCACTGCTGTGTGTATGACCTGCATAAAGAAAATACATTTCTTAAGCCTGGTATTTTTTAAATAAGTTTTTATTTTTATTTTTTATAAGTAAAGGCATATAACTAGTTTAATTGTAGTGCATTGACAATAGTTTTATATAATTAGTTTATTAATTAGATTAACTTGGTCAATAAACTTGGTCTGAAAATTTGGTCCATAAATCAAACACACTTGCATGTAATAATATGAAACTCGGTAAACATATGGATCTCATCGGTTCATATATACTTCACACTCTTACTTTTTACCCCAGCCCAAAAGGAAGTTCACTATTTAGGGTTGTTTGTAAAAAAAAAACATGCAATGGAATAATTTAAAGTACTTCTCTAGAGAATTCAAAGAAATGCCACAAAACTCGATCAGCGTGAAGTCAAGACATTGAGGATAAAAAATTGCCAGGGGATTTTTGATATCTCGAACGGTTTGGCCGTGGCGAGGAAACGAATTTATGGCGAGAAACGTGAAACAGGAAGTGTGTTATAACTTCAGCATACGTTAACTGATCTTGATGAAACTTCAGCAGTGTGTTCGCTGTAAGAGGCCGATCACATGGATGTGACTATTGTGAGTCAAATTTATAGCGCCACCAACTGGCAGCAGGAAGTGTGTCACTTTCAAAATGCTTTGAAATCACTCTCTTATTTTTACCCAATTTGCTTCAAACTTCATCTGTATAATGTAAATTCATAGCAGATGAAGACCGGTGAAAGGATTTTTGATATCTTTGATATTGTTGCCGTGGCAACGCATCAAACTTTAAAATTACTGTTTTTGATGGTTTTGAGACTCTTAGCGGCTTTTGGGGCCCTTAACGGGTTTGAAAACTCTTGAAACTTTGCACACAGGTCAGATCCCACAGCCATCAGAGCCAGGCTGAAGATGGTACCTGGGCGTGGCAGGGGGGCTAGACAGCGCCCCTTGGAACGGGGTCCGAAAACTTGGTCCATAAATCAAACACGCTTGCATGTAATAATATGAAACTCGGTACACATGTTGATCTCATCGTTTCATATATACTTCACACTCTTACTTTTTACCCCAGCCAACAAGAAGTTGGCTATTGAGGGTTGTTTGTAAAACGCATGCAATAAAATTTGAAATACTCCTCCTAGAGCTCTGATCCAAATTCGATGAAACTCGGTCAGCATGAAGTCAAGACATTGAAAGATAAAAGTTTGCGAGGGGATTTTTGATATCTCAAACGGTTTGGCCGTGGCGGGGAAACGGAATTATGGCGAGAAACGTGAAACAGGAAGTGTGTTATAACTTCAGCATACATTAACTGATCTTGATGAAACTTCAGCAGTTTGTTCGCTGTAAGAGGACAATCACATGGATGTGACTATTGTGAGTCAAAGTTATAGCGCCACCAACTGACAGCATGAAGTGTGTCAATTTCAAAATGCTTTGAAATCACCCTCTTATTTTTACCCGATTTGCTTCAACCTTCATCTGTATAATGTAAATACACGGCAGATGAAGACCTGTGAATGGATTCTTGATATCTTTGAAACTGTTGCCGTGGCAACGCTTCAAACGTTGAAATTATTTTAGGATGCTTTTGAGACTCTTAGCATGCTTGAAATTGCATGAAACTCAACAGACACATCACATTTATTAGCCAGTAGACATGTGCAAAGTTTCAGAAACGGGCATGGTGCAAGGACTAAATAGCGCCACCTTTTGACAAAAGTGGGGTTGTTAGATTTATCTACAGTTACAAAAATCAGTATATGCATTGTACTCCTCAAGCCGGACAACTTTCTAATACATAGTCATTAGCTCGGACCAAAAGGAAGTCAGATATTTTGGTTTGAATATTGTGAGCCTCTCTCTGAGCCTACGTCCCTGTATGGCAAGCCCTTTTAACATTTAAAAGCTAAGTTTGCCTATCCGGAATTAAAGGAGAATTCCAGCGAACAATGAACCTTCGGTCTAATAAAACATCGGTACCTAGTCAATCGTTCTCTGAGTTTTGTTTTCATGATA